GTTGGATGAAGAGATTACTTAAAAATAAAATCTTAAAAAAAAAAAACTCTAAAGAAAATAAAGTATATGAACAAGCAACCAAACAGAAGGAAATCCAAATGGAAAATAACTATTTTCACTGGATAATAGGGAAATGCAAGTTAAAACATCATTGAGCTCCCATTTTCCATCATCAGATTGGCAAAAATTAAAGTGTCACAATAGAAAACATTGCTACTTTCACATATATTGTGAATGGAAATGGAAATTAGATCAGTCTTTTTATAGAGGAATTTGGTGGTATCTAGTAAAATTGAAAATTAATATAATCTGAAACTCTTTTACATGGACTTACAGATATATAATATCTATGTGGAGATAATACATACAGAATGTGTAGGTATGACTGGAGTCATCAGTATATACATGATAATTAAGGCTAAGGAAGTAGATATGTCACCTAAGGAAAGAGAAGAGATAGTAAAGAGAAGAAGACCCAGGATGAGTCTTGAGGAAATCTAACATTTGCAAGCTGAAAAGAAATAGAGGCGATATCAACAGAAACTGATAAAATGAAACCAGTGAAGCAAAAGAAAAATTAGGAGTATCTGGTGTTCTGGAATCTAAAGGAAGAGAGTGCTAATTGAAAGGATGGAGAGAAACTGTGTCTAATGCTGCTGAGATGTTGAGTAAAATTATTATCAATGAGTGTGGTAATATGGAGGACATCGGTATTCTCATTAGGGTAATTTAATTGAAGGTGAGAACAGAAGAACATTGTCATCGGTGAACAAGATTTCTTAGATGAGACACACAAAGCACAATCAAAAAGGGGGGAAATGGATAATTCTGACTACATAAAAATGTAAATTTCATCAGTGTTGTGAGTATCTGTAGAATTGCTACAAATCAGCCAGTAAAAAAGATGATCTGAAAGAAAAATGACTAAAAGACAAACAATCAACTAATTCACAGAAGAGGAAACTGGAATGGTCAATATTTTGAATGGTCAAAATATTCATTTTCAATAAATATGAAAAGAGATCCAACTTTACCAATAACCAAGGAATGACAAAACAATAATGAAATAATATTTCTACCAATAGGTTGGCAAAATCGAAGCTGGCAATGGCAACAGGCAGGGGTTACCAAGGATGTGAGGAAACCAACAGAATCAAGTAGAAAACTATTAGAACTAGTAAGAGTTTAGCAAAATGCTGGACATAAGAGCGATATCTTAATCAACATTTAGAAAAGGAAATCAAATATAAGCTATCATTCCCAATGGCAACAGAAACTATACATACCTAGAGACAAACTAATAAAAATGTATAATAGTTTTATGGAGAAAATTATAATGTTTTCATGAGGGATATAAAAAGAAAATTTGAATAAATGGAGAAATATATACAATGTCCATGCATGAGAAGGCTCAGCGTTATAAATATGTCAATTCTCCTTACATTAGTTTATAAGTTCATTACAGTTCCAATCAGTACCCCCAGTGAGATTTTGACAAGGTGATTTGTTTTTAATGAGGAAGAATAGAGGTGTACAAATAGTAATAACCACGAACATTTAATGGGAGCTAGCTTTTGAAAAAAAAAATGTGGGTGACATGCCCTACCAGAAATAAAAGAATATTACAAAGTTGTCATTATTAATGATCCAGCAATTGCACTATCGGATATTAACCCAAAGGATACATCAATATAGATTCAAAGGGGCACATGCACCCCGATGTTTATAGCAGCATTATCAACAATAACCAAACTATGTCAAGAACCCAATGCCCATCGACTGATAAATGGGTAAAGACAATCTGGTATATATATGCAATGGAATATTACTCAGCCATCAAAAATAAAGAAATCTTGCCATTTGCAAGAATGTGGATGGAGCTACAATGTATTACGTGAAATGAAATAAGTCAATCAGAGAAAGACAAATACCATATGATTTCACCCATATGTGGAATTTAAGAAACAAAACAGATGAACATATGGGGTAGGGGAAGAGAAGAGAAGGAAACAAACCACAAGAGACTCTTAATGATAGAGAACAAACTTGGGTTGATGCAGTGAAATGGGTGGGACATGGGCTACATGGGTGATGGGTACTAAGGAGGACATTTGTGATGAGCACTGGGTTTTGTATGTAAGTGATGAATCACTGAAATCAATATTGCACTGTATGTTAACTAAAATTAAAATATAAAAGTAAAAATAGACAAAGTTGTAGCTATAATGTGACATAGGTACAGTAATTGGCAAAGAAATTTGAAGAACAAAATAGAGTTCAGAAATAGACTATCATTGCTAACCAACCGTTTTGTGGTAACCATTTCACAATATACACATGTATCAAATCATCACATTTTATACCTTTAATTTATATGTTACAGCACAATAATATCATGAAGCTGGAGATTTTTAATTTTAAAAAATAAATAGACTCTAGCATTTCTGATAGCATGATGTATAATAGAATTGGAGTCGATTATTGGTGGGGGAACATGATGAACTATTTAAGAAATAGTATTGGGCCAGTTCTCATGTGTAACATTCCACACACTCAACACGAAAAGAAAATCCAAATGGATTAAAGACTTACACATGAAAAATTAAAACTTGGGGAAAAAATAGGGTCATATCTTTATGATCACAGAATAAAGATTTCTTTTTTAAAAAATGTTTATTTATTTGGGGGGTAAGAGGAGCAGAAAAAGAGGGAGAAAGAGAATCCCAAGAAGGCCCCAAGCTCAACATGGAGCCCTATCTGGGGCTCGTTCCCACAACCCTGGGATCATGATCTGAGCCAAAATGAAGAGTCAGTCACCTAACCGACTGAACCACCCAAGTGCCCCTTCTGTTCTCTCCTTTCTTTTTTTGTTTGTTTGTTTAGTGTTTTTATTTGTAAGAGAGAGTATAAGCAGGGGAGGGGCAGACAGAGGGGGACAGAGGTTCTGAAGTGATCTCTGTGCTGAGAGTTGAGAGCCTGATGCAGGGTTCAAACTCACAAATCGTGTGATCATGACCTGAGCTGAAGTTGGATGCTTAACCAACTGAGCCACCCAGGAGCCCCTTCTATTATTTTCCTAACAGACATTTAGGATGTTTCCAGTTTGGGAGTATTATAAATGGCTATTACTCCTGTCAATATTCCTTTTTTTAAAATATTGTAATGTTTATTCATTTTTGAGAGACAGAGAGAGAATGTGAGTGGGGGAGGGGCAGAGAAAGAAGGAGAAACAGAATCTGAACCAGGCTCTAGGCTCTAGGCTCTGAGCTGCCCTGATGCAGGGCTTGAACCCATGAACCATGAGATCATGACCTGAGCCAAAGTCAGATACTTAACTGACTGAGCCACTCAGGTGCCCCTACTCCTGCATATATTATTGTACATCTCCTAGTTCTAGTAATTGTATTCAAGTTTCTCAGGACACTAGAGTATAGGCTTAGAGTATAGACATTCAAGGAATTGAAAGCAATCTAAATATTCATCAAAAGGGTAATGGATAAATTAAATGTGACACATTTATATGATGGAATATTATACAGTAGCCAAAAGGAATGAATCGGGGTGCCTGAGTAGCTCAGTTGGTTAAGCGTTCCACTCTTGATTTTGACCATGTTCTTCTGGTCAGTGAGAGCAAGCCCCATGTCAGGCTATGTGCTGATAGCTTGGGATTCTCTCCCTTTCTCTCTCTGCCCCTGCCCCACTTGCCTGTGCACTCTCACTCTCTCTCTCAAAATAAATTAGTAAACTTTAAAAAAAATGAATCATTACAGGGAATGATAAAAGTGAGAGAAAAGAGGAACAATAAATTATACTATTTGGGTAAAAAAAATAAGAAACACACATAACACAGTACTAAATATATGTAAAAATATAAAAAGTGAATTGGACATATAGACACTAAACTCATGATAGTGGTTCTCTGGGGAAGAAGAGAGAAGGGACTTCAGCTTTATTTATAGTGTTTCACTTCCTTTAAAAAAAAAGTTAAAAATAAATATGATAAAATATTAATGGTTGTTAATTCTGGGTGGTAAAATACAGGTATTTGCTCATGTTCCAAATTGGACTCAGAAGAATGTGGGGAAGAAGAATGTGTAAATATCATTTAAATATTTTTAAGTGTTTGCCTAAGAGTTCATCTAGTATTTGAAATTTACATAATCTTACTATGGGAAATTTTTAGTGGTTTTATTTCTTTTGATGTAGTTTTAAAAATAAATACGGTGTTTTGGTTTTTTTTTTAATTGTAAAATAGCTTTATTCTATTTCCGTAAGACTGATTTACAGCGATGTAATTACTGGATCAAAGAGCGTGAAACTTTGAAACATTTGCTGCCTTGCAGGAAACTCCCAATATACATACGATACCTAAGGAAATCCTAACTTGAAATATTATAGATCTGGGAGTGCTTTTTATAGTCACAAAACGTCCACTCTTTATTTAATCATTATTTTTCTTTAAATGTTTATTTTTGAGAGAGAGAGAGAGAGAGAGACAGTATGAGTGTGGGAGGGGCAGAGATAGAGGGAGACAGAGAATCCGAAGCAGGCTCCAGGCTCTGAGCTGTCAGCGCAGAGCCCAATGTAGGGCTCCAACTCACAAAACCATGAGATCATGACCTGAGCCAAAATCAGACGCTTAACCAACTGAGCCACCCAGGTGTCCCTATTTAATCACTTTTTAAAAAATGTTTTGTTTATTTCTGAGAGAGAGAGAACAGGGGAGGGTCAGAGAGAGAGAGGGAGATACAGAATATGAAACAGGCTCCAGGCTCTGAGCTAGCTGTCAGCACAGAGCCCGACTGGGGTCCGAACCCACAAACCATGAGATCATGACCCAAGCCCAAGTGGGACGCTCAACCGACTGAGCCACCCAGGCGCCCCTATTTAATCATTCCTAACTGATATTTAATTCTTGCACTTTGGAGCTCAATACGTTTGATACATATACCTTTGCATTAACCTCTGGTTTAATTAGCCTTTATCTAGGTAAAATGTTGATCTCACTAATGAATGAAGACGAAAAGAAGACATTGTCACTCAAATCCGGAAAGGTTTTCGAAAGAGAGCTGTTCAAAGGTAGAAGCTCCTCATTACTGGAGGTAGGGAAGCAAAGACTCGATGAGTGCTTGGCATAATGTTATAAATCCCTTCTTTCTTTCCTCATACCTGTAGGGAACACCTCTTCCTTCAGCCACGTGCATGGACCTAAAGACTCAGAGGTGAAAATTTTTAGGGTGCTGCCACCCAAGCTGAATTTCAATAGTTTGGCTAAATGATCCAATCCTGGTGTTCTCTGAATTCTTTGTTGCTGGCTGGACCTTAATTTTAGGCTTTGGAAGATGTGCCTGTGAACAACGGAAAATCCAGCAAATGAAGCTAACTTTCATGAGATTTTGATTAATTAGGTTTCTTAGAACGCTCTATCAAGCCTACTTGTGGGTGTTGGATACAAACATAAATTCGGCCTGAATGGGGTATTCAGGGGCGGGGGAGAGAGAGGCAATTCGGGGGGGGGGGTGAGCGAGAAAAAGCAGTATCTACCAGTCTTCCCGTTCTGCTCCTTTGATGTACCCTAGACCCCGCAGGGCCAAGTCCGGGAAACCCCACCAGCCAGAATTAGCGCCGGCGAGAGCGCAAGCCGCGCGGACCATTTAGAAACCCGGAACTTCTGTGCGGGGTCTCTGCAGCAGCGCGTACGGGGAAGCGTTTGGGCGCCGTACCGCCCTGCGCCATGCCCTTCAGCCGGGTTCACGGAGGAGAAAGCTCGCGGCTTGGGCCGAGGCGGTGGTCCTGGTGGTTTTCTTTGTAATTGGCGGTCCGAGGCTAGGCCTCCACTGGGAACGGCATCACCATGATGAGCGGACGGCCGGGCCGAGTGCCCTTACAGTTCCTGCCGGATGAGGCCCGGAGCCTCCCCCCGCCCAAGCTGACCGACCCGCGGCTCGTCTACATGGGTTTCTTGGGCTACTGCTCCGGCCTGATTGATAACGCGATCCGGCGGAGGCCGGTGATGACTGCCGGTGAGGGCTGCGCGGGCGAGATCGGCTGGGAGGAGAGGGGGTCGCAGGGCTGTGGGCTGGTTCCCCCCATAAGCCGCTCAAGGTGCTTTCGCTTTTCCGGGCCTGTTCACCTAACAGGCCCCGCCTCGCCTCCCTGGGGCATTCGTGTCCCGTGAGCTCCAGAACCCGATAGGGCCAAAGTGCTATTTGAATTTAAGAACTGAGGACAGTGAAACCCAAGGCCCCACAGTGAGTTTGTGGAGAACCTAGGACTGGACTGCCAGGTCCTGGCTCAGTTCGCGCTTTGGTGTGTGCGAGAACGAGCGTACACTTTGTGCCATGCTCTACTGACACTACGTGCGTTAAATTCTCAAAATACTTTATAGAAAGGTATTATCCGTAATGAGGAAATAGAGCTTTAGGGGGAATTAACGCAGCTTGCCCAAGGTAATATGGTTGTTAAGTAGTCTTGTTTTCATTTTTTTTTAATGTTTGTTTATTTTTGAGAGAGAATCTGAAACAGGCTCCGAGGTGTCAGCACAGAGCTCCCTGCGGGCTCGAACCCACAAACCGGAAGATCATGACCTTAGCTAAAGTCGGACACTTAACTGACTTAGCCACCCAGGGGTCCCTGAGTAGCCTGTTTTTAGGCCTGAAGTCTATATTCGAAACTAGTGCTTCTCAAACTAATTGTACATACTAATAACTCGGGGATCGTTTAAAATGTGGATTCTGATTTATCAGGTCTGGGGAGAAGCCTCATGTTAACAAACTCCCAGATACTGCTGATGCTGCTGGTCTAGGGACCCCCTTGAGTAGGAGAGGATAAACCAATGGGCTGTATTTTCTAGTAGCGTGTCAGTGGTCTCCGGTCAGATAATGGCTGACAAGGTAGCTGTGCTAAGGGCAGTGGATTTCCAAAGGGAAAGAGGAGGGAAGCTTTGGAAGAGATGTCTTTGAACTTAGCTTTGATTTATCAAATTCTAGGAGTCTTTCAGGCCTATGAGAAGCTAGTGGAAGTAAATGGAGGTAAGGGCCTCTGAATGGGGAAAAATTTGATGATTGAGTGTATAGAGTTGGATAATAAGGGTAAGAAGGATAGGAGATTTAGGTAGATCATGGCAGAGATTAATTACTCTCATTTTACAGTTGAAGACAGGAACCTTTTTATCTTTTGAGAGCTGTTAGGGGATGGGGAGCGGAGAGAAGCAGTAAGCAGGCCTTGTGTTTTGTTTTTAAGTAGGGTCCATGGCCAGCGTGGGGCTTGAACTCATGACTGTGACATCAAGAGTCAGAATGCTCTATGAACTGAGCCAGCCAGGTCCCCCAGGCCTTGTATTTTGTTTTGTTTTTCTTTTAAATATTTATTAGAGAGAGAGAGAAAGTGTACATGAGTGGAGGAGGGGCGGGGCAGGGTAGAGAATCCCAAGCAGGTCCCTGGCAGTCAGCATAGAGCCTCAACGTGGGGCTCGAAATCAGGAACCCTGGAGAACATGACCTGAGCCAAAATCAAGAGTCCGATGCTTATCCAGCTGAGCTTCCCAGGGGCACTAGACCTTGTGTTTTAAAAGGAAGGTTTACTTTTTCAGTGCAGAGCACTGATTGGAGCCAAGGAGATCAGTTAAGGAGAAAGCTAATACAGTGAGTGGTTCAGAAAACCAGGAATCACCTCACTTGTTCCCCTTTTTGCCACCTCCAGCTGTCTGTCGTGCCTGAAGGCCAGCTTTCAGCTCACCAAATCTTAGCATTTCCGGTGCTCAGATAGTATTGAGATCCCATCTCCCTTAGACCTGACCCTCCTCCACAAAAAGGAGTGGTCTTTGTCTATTTCTGCCTCTGGGGAGATGAGGTTTACTCCCTTTTCATCCCCACTGCACATCTGCCTATCAGAGCTGCATTTTGAAACTCAGTGTCCTTGCTCCACTCTTTCCTATCTGTGTTAGCTTGGACAAGTCACTTGGTCGGGCCATTCAGAGGCAAAGTTTCTTCAACTATAAAATGAGAGTAATTAATCTTTGCATATTTTTTGTGAAAACTAAGTGAGATTTATAGATAAAATGCCTGGCTCACAGAAGGTGCTAGACAAAGTTTCTATTCCTTAGCTGTTCTTATGCAAACAGTTTACCATATATTTGTTCAGCATTTACTTATGTCTTTCTGTGCCAGGAAGACATACGGGGCATATGGTGTGAGGAATACCATCCCTGCCCTTGAAGAGCTCCTAGTCGAGCCAGAGAGACAAGTGAACAGTCCATTATGGGTCTAGGCATGACAGCTAATATGTTTTCATAGAAGTAGGTGAGCAGAGGGCACTTTGGGAGCACAAAGGAAGTACAGATTGGAGAGATACTGTTCCAGAGGAAGAGCATAGTGGTCAAGAGCACATGATCTGGGGTTTGCCGCCACCTCCATCCTACTAGCCATTCCATTCTGGGGAAGTTACTTATCTCTGTGAGCTTTAGTGTCCTTACATATGAAATAGAGATAATATCTACCTGTGTTTGGCTGTGAGAACTAGATGAGATGGTGTATAAAGCCCTTAATCTAGGGGCTAGGGGTCAGAGTTCCTGAGTTTCCCGGGTTTCCTAGGTCTTGAGAACTTTATTGAAATGGTTCTCAGCAGCATTTACTGAAGCACATTGTGTTTGTCTAGTTTAATGACTGTCATATAGTAGTATTCAATAAGTATTTATTGAATAAATAAATATAGGTAGACTACAAGGAAGTCTAAAACATAGTCCCTCCCCTCCAAAGACTCACAAATCAGACAAGCATAACCATTTAAAAGGCCAAATGGTGTAAGTTTATGCATGTTGGGTAACAGGTGTGACAGAGGAGTGGAGAAGGAGAAAGATACAGTGGGTTTTTAAACTACAGCCCTGGAAAGTATCTGGCATTCTGTGGGTAGTGTTAGAATATTCTTTAAATGAAATCATATCCTGTAGATCTTTTTCAAGTTAGAAGAAAACTATTAAATAGAATTTTGTCTTAAACTTTTCTCCCATCTCAAGTTCTAAACCACTGATGGTAGTTACCACTTACCTGCCCTAAATTTATAGTAATTTGGTATCTAAATGTAGCCAATATATTTATTGATTTCTAATTTAATGTATCAGTAGTTACTGGTGTTCTGCAAAGAGCATCATGGCTTCCAAGTTTAGATTCACTTAATAGAGAGAAAATGATCGTGGAGGGGCTGCGCTTGTGTTGAGAAGGAGGCCAGCACTGAGAGGAAGAGAAGAGGTTAGGGAAAGGGGGACTTGGGAGGGGCCAAACCATGCCCTTAAGGGCTGGGATACTAACATCACCATTTGAAACATTCCGGGAATCTTTTTCTATGAGGGATGTGCGCGAGCGTGGATCGTCTAGGTCTTTATGTCTGTTGTCCAGGGGCGCACAGACCCCCGGCACGCTTTGCTTTGCTGTACTGCAGGTGGTCCACTAGGGGGAGTGATGGCTGTTTGGTGTGGGGAGAATGCAAAAGAGCCTGAACCCTGTTCAATCCCAGGTCGTAGTAGTGTTTTGCATTTTTATTGTTTCACACATTTTTCCAAAATATTTTTACACACATTTTCTTTTGGTTTATATAATACTGCCACAAGAATGATAGGATAGGTATCATCTTTGTTTTAGAGGTAGTAAATTGACTTTCCCAAGACTATTTATCCAGGCTTTGCATGGTAGTAGATGGAAATAATTTATATATCAGCTTACATATTAGTAGAGAAGACTTCACCCTGTTTTAACCCTGTTAAAGAAAGTTCTGGGATGACTTCTTAGCGGAAGTGATGTCTGAATTGAATCTTGAAGGATGGGGGCAGAGAGTGTCTGAGCAGAGAAATAACCAGTGGGTGTTATGAAGAATTAAAAGTTATTCAGTATTGGGGCACCTGAGTAGCTTAGTCCGTTGAGCATTCTACTTCAGCTCAGGTCATGTTCTCACAGTTCATGGGTTCAAGCCCTGCTTTGGACTCTGTACTGATAGCTCAGAGCCTGGAGCCTGCTTTGGATTCTGTGTCTCCCTCTCTCTCTGCTTGTACTCTGTCTCTCTCTCTCTCTCTCTCTCTCTTTCTCAAAAATAAATAAAATTAAAAAGAAAAGTAGTTCAGTATAATGGGGCACCTGGGTGGCTCAGTCAGTTAAGCGTCTGACTCTTGATTTCTGCTCAGGTCACAATCTCATGGTTGGGGAGTTAGAGCCCACATCAGGCTCTATGCTGATAGTGAAGAACTTGTTTGGGATTCTCTTTCTCCGCCCCTCCCTGCCTCTAAAAATTAATTGA